TATTCCCGCGGGGATTCGGCGGAGAGCGCGATGCGATTGGCTCGCTTGGTGGCGCGAGATCCCGCGAGAGTAGGAGCTTGAACTTGTTCCAAAAGCCGGAGAGCCGCGCTGGTTCTTTGGGGGAAAAGGTGTTTGGGGGTTCCTGTCTGCTATAGCGGGAAGGAGGCGCTAGTTCCTCAAGCGGAGGTGATTATTCTAGTGCTCTTGGTTGTTTACTCGGTATTTTCTAGACTCCCGAACGCGAGTCCACCAAGGACTGCGAGTAGGTGTGGTTACCTGAGGAAAAAACAGCCTGTGGCAGGTGGCCTCGAAACCCACGCGGGCACACAGTCCCCTTAGCCGGCTGTGAGTCGTACTCTTTGCCAGATAAATGGCTTCCACTGGCATGAGTGTATGTCCTCCAACCGTTGTTTCGTGACCATTAATTAAATGAAAGCTTTAATAAGCACGTCGACCTGGTTAATAGTTAGAAAAACTTGGCCGTCTCTTTTTTTTTTTTTTTTTTTTTGGAGAGGTTTTCCCTATAGGGCGCACGCCCTCGCCAGACACAGAGAGAGAGACAGAGACAGAAAGTGAGAAATCACCCCCCAGGGGGGATGGTCACGCCATAATCCCTTCTCCATTCTCCTCTCGGGATCTTGGGCACGCACGCACACGTGCCCGAAACTTGGCTGTCTCTTTACAGTGTTTTCTAACAGGTTTCAAGCCACTGCTGAGAATAGGGCTAAAATTGTTTTTTAAAAAATACGTTTCTTAGGAGCAACCCACGGTCGTCACTGTTATCCAGGATCTCTCAGTAAATAGATGAATAAAGTTTTGGAACTCAGTACCTCTACTGAAGTAGTTATGGAAGGGAATACGGTAAAGTGAAGGCGAGATTCTTGCCCTCAAGATACTAAAAATCTGTGGAGGGAAAAATTAAAAAGCCCTATTCTGCATTTTAAAAATAAATGAACACTGGGACCAGCAGGTGGCTAAGGGTTATGTAGCTGGACCTTCATGGCTAATGGCAGTTCGAGTCCCGGAATGGTGACTTGAAACACGCACCAAGTGCGTATGGGTGGGTCCCCAAAATCAGAGTTGGGGCCAGGAGATGATTTCTCAGCTTTCTATCTCTGGCGAATGCACACTCCCTAATGCAAAAAATTCATCTAAAAAAAAACCTAATAAATGAACACCCTCACTCTCCTCTTGGCTTCCCTGCCATTTCCTCCTGGTTTTGCAACTGCCTCTTGATTCACTTTACATGTTTTTCTAACTCTGACCTAACTCTGCCTCCTGTGTTCCCTGGTGCTCCGTTTACCCTGTTGTTTAATGTTACCTCTCCTGTCTCCTTGAGCAATCTCTTCCCCATCATAGATTTGTCCTGTGCACCAAGGATCACATGTGTATCTTCAGGTCAGACTCTCTTAAGCAGCAGGATCTTCGTTTGAATATCACACCTTTAATACATCCCAGATTGGAGTGAACATCTTTACCACTACTTAACTGTTGATGCCATATCTCCCTCTCTACCCATCTCAAACCAGGGCCATTTCCATTCTCTAATTCAAGTAATGGCACCCGATGACTGATGTCAGAAATCCATGAGTCCCTCTGTTACTTTTCTTTCATTCCCTATCCTATCATATTTTATTCACTCATTTCCTTAAGTAGCTCTCAAACCCACCCTTTCTTATTAATCTCCACTCTCACTCTTAGTTCTTCAAGTAATCATTTTTTCTGCCTCATGTCCCTTGGACTGAAAATATGATCATGGTACTCCTTTGCTAAGAAATTTTTAGGAGCTCCTCGCTACTTGTAGAACCCTTTGTGATCTGGCTCTACACGGTTAACCTTATCTGCTGTTCTTCCCCCATTTACTCCATGCTAGCTATTCTAAATTTCTTGCCCTTCTGTGCTTTTTCTAGGTTCTTGCAAGATCCTTTGGATCTCAGTTAAATACTTAACCTACTACACGGGTCCTTTCATAAGTTTCTGAGGCAGGCTCAACTTTCCTTTGCCCTTTTTGAACTTATTTCTATTAGAACAATGATACTGGACTATAATTATTTCTCTGTGAATGTAACTGACTGAGCAACCCCCATCTCCACTCTTGAGAAACATTTTGAACTGCAGATAATAAAGGTTTAAGAATACCCTTCATTTCACCCTGCTCAGGAATTTGACTAAACCTTGACTATATACTTTTTAGTCATATGACCTCAAGCTTTCTATCAGTTGTTGGCATGTCTAAGTACTGACCTTTAAATGACAAATTTGTAATAGGTTCCAATTTAAGCATCAAGAGGGCAGGCAAGCAAACAGATGGAAAAAAATTTTTTTTAAAGGAAAATTGACATCGTACCACATAACAGGACAGAAGTTGCTTCCAGGATTATACTTAGGAATGTTACAACATGTATTTTATATGTGTTCCTTTCAGAATTACTACTTATTCAGGGATATATGTGTGTGGGTTTGATTCAGCAGTTTCTTTCTGGGTGAACCCAATCTTACGAAGAAAGACCTCTGTACCTCAAATAGACAAAGAGATCATGAAAAGAAATAGATTTGGAGTGCCAGAAACCACCCTAGATTGTCCAGCTGAGGCCCAGCGAAAGTTCACACCACCAGCACCAGCACACCTACACAATTCTCAAGTGTTACTCTTGATTGATTGTAAATCAGACTTTCAGCAATGCTCTGCCTCCTGGCTAGATTCACCTTACCATAGGTGACTAGAAGGCGTGGCAACATTCTGTCCTGAGGAGCTAAGATCCAGAAGTTCCAGGAGGTAATCAACAGCTAAAGGTGTGGTAAGCCATGACTGAGTCGGGTGGGGTAGACTGAAATACAGCATACAGGAGTAGTAGCTGCATGGCTGAGTCAGGATTAGCTACTAGAACAAATCTTGTTCTGAATGTGTTAGTGGGATAGCTGACAGGTACTTCCTTACTAGCTATGCACCTAGAGAGCACAAGCTACATTTTTTTTCTTTGTGTTTCCAGAGCAGAGCACAGTGCTTGGCACAGATTCTTAACTATGGGTTTGGTGAATTGAGTGAAGAATTGAAAGTTTTGGTTTTGGGCTTTTTGTTTTGTTTTGTTTTTGTTGTTGTTTTATTGTTTGTTTGTTTTGGAGAATAGAGACATCTGTGTGGGCCAGAATTGAAGAAGCTTTGTGGAAGATCAAGTATGAGCTTCAGCTTCTAAGGTTCATAAAGTTAAGGTATTGAGGAAGAACTATGATTGCAACAAGAGCAGAGTTTTAGAAACAGGAATGAGCAGAGCCGGTGCAGGACTCTAATGGGAAGCCTTTGCAAGTTCTTGAACAGGATGATTAATCTGGAGTAAGATACAGCAGAATTGTAGGGAACATGATAACTGTAAGAAGAGAAATCTTCAGGTGATAACTCCAGGATGAGCCAGTGAGAAAGACTGAGTCACAAAAGACCGTTCCCTCCTTGACACACTCACATCTAAAATTTTTTTGTGACATCGTCCTGCTACTTCACGGGCTGCCTCTTCTCAGTCTACTTTTCTCTTGCACTTTTCAATCTACTTTAATCTAAATGATGACATACCTTAGTGCTTGATCCTGAGATTTCATTTTTCCCCATAGTTTTAAATTCATTTTCCACTCACACAACAGCTAAGTGGTCTATTTAAAATATAGACTTGTTACTCCCCAACTTAAAATTGTTCAGTAAGACCCAACCTCGGTGGTGTAATTAGTAGCCTACTAAACTACAGGGCTGGAGGCCACAAGGCCAACCACAGGTTTGGATCCCCAGCCTGGTTGGCCTGAAATATGCCAGGCACATGCATGCCTGAGATTCCAATGAGCTGGAAGACAGACATCACAGTGTGACAAAAACCTGCTCTGTGTGTGTGTGTGTGTGTGTGTGTGTGTGTGTGTCTGTCTGTCTGTCTCATGCATGCCTACATTCTCTATCATGAATAATTTTTTAAAATTCATTTAATTGTTTATTATTTATGTAGAATAACATGCAAAATTCTTGACAAGGCTTGCAGACCCCAGAATGATCTTGACCTTGCCAGCAAGCATCTCATGCTATTCAAGGCTTTCTGTTCTTTATCTCTCTGTCTGGAAAAGTAGTTATCCCTTGGTATCTGAGGGGAATTGGTTCCAGGACACACACGCACACACACTCACACACACACATGCATGCACATACAATACCAAAATCCGCAGATTTTTAAGTCTGTATCTAAATTTTGTAATGCAGTCAGCCCTCTACATCAGAAGGTTAAACATCTGATTCAACCTCTAGAATGTAGAACCCCCTAAGAAGTGCAGTGCCCATTGGAGATGACTTTTGTCTCCCATGGGACAGCTGGAAACATTTTTTATTGTCACAGGTGGGGGCCAGACATGCTGCTAAACATCCTATAATGGACAAGGCAGTGCCCCACAACAAAGAATTACCAAGCCCCAAATTTCAGTCCTGCCAAGGGTTACAGCCCTGGGTCTCTAAATGATTCATTCCTTTTAATAATTTATATTCCAGTTTTAATGTTACCTTCTTAGAAAAGTCATTGTTCACCATGAATTTCCTGTTTATTTCTGTCACAGTGTCTTGTTTATTCACCTTATATCATTTATCACAACCTATGATTATTCAGCTTATTCATTTGCTTACTTGCTTATTATATTTCTCACCATCTAGGAAGGAAAGCCCATCAAAGGCATATCTCTCTTGATCACCATTCTGTCTGTAAAGTCTGATACAATCATTCGATTGATAGTCATTCTCTCTGACATATTCCTTTATCTGTAAGGTCAAGTGCAATGGCACAAAGTAGGCATCAAGAAAGAGTCACTCAACACCTGTATTAGTAAATACAGTGGATCACTGGATGGAAACATGACTGAAGACCTTCTTT